ACCAGAACTTTAAATTCATCTTTCATGTACGTTTATTTCTTAGATGCGAATATGTGAGATTTTGGGAGGAGAATTTCTAGTTCGGAAATTAGAGAAAACAAAAAGGTAAAATTATTAGAGAATGTTTTCTGTACAACTTCAAATACAGCTCTCATGTGTGCCTACGTTTCATGCATGGTCACCTGAAATTTCGCATTTTTGCGTATACAAACCCGTAAAAAAATGAATACGAGATCCAGTTGTGGCAGTGGTAAGAAATGTATACGATTTAATGGACCAAAACATTTTTTATCATTAAAATGATTCTGTTGATTTACAAATTTTGTAATTCTCATCTCCTGCCTTCCTTTCTGATTCTTCATATTTCATCCAATTCTGTTCGTGATAGCAGTTGCATGCTGGGCTGAACTGCGGAAAACGCACGATCGTACGGCATGGCTGTCCCGATGCGTGCTGTTAGTTGGTCTGTGTTGTCTCTGTTAGATCAGTTGTTTTTTTTATGTATGTTGTTTCTTTTGTGTTGCTTTTAGGGCGCGTAATGGGCCTTGTAACCTATCACGAGAAATAAATAGCTACATTAACGAGTGAGTTAATGGCTGAGTTTCAGGAGGCGATGAGGCGAGTTATGCGTGCCCGAAAGGTGTTGCCATCAATCAGCGAACACGGGAGCGCCTCTATAGCAGCTGGGGCAGCAGCAGCAGTAGGGCCAGCGCCAATGGCTCCCGGGTGAGTAGTTCAGCGCATTAGCGCTCGTTCTCATTAGCCCGTGCTTGGGCAGTTCGACGAGGATACCACAGAAACATCTTGTGCTGATGCTCTCTTTCAGTACAGGGGCTCGCCACGCGTTGTACCGGAGACATCACTGGCACCGCTCGAATGGGACGTGTTCTTCGACAAGAAGCTCGACGTGAGCATCAGCGAACAGGACGTCTTCTGTGTGTATACGAAAGGAGATGCTGGTCCGATGTTCTTCTTGCTACACGGTGGCGGATATTCCGGGCTTACTTGGGCATGCCTCACGGTACGTCCCCTTTACATCATTCCTCTCCTTACACTATCTATGTTTATGTATCTATGGATTTGTTTTTATTTCTGCATCTGTTTCTAGGGATGGTTTTTTTGCATTTATGCATGTGTATGTACATTGTGTGTGTGTGTGTTTGTGTATGTATGTATGTATGTATGTATGTATGTATGTATGTATGTATGTATGTATGTATGTAT